TGGGAAGTGCAAGAAAAGAAACTGTTAGAGTAGAAGTGGTGGTTGCATCTAACTAGTTCAATAGTAAAATGGTGAGACCTAGTTACCAATCTAATAGCATGGTTAAATTCATGTAATCGGTGCACCAGAGGAAAAAAGCTCATCAGAACTGTTGCCATGAAAATATTTCTAGAAAAGACAGAGGGAAGCTACATTAGTGAGAAGTGACTGAAGTCAAGATGTATCATTAGAGACCATTCAAGATGTATCATTCTTTGGATTTTGTCAAGAATCTTGTGATGTACACCAAGAGCACCAGACCAGATATGACAACAGTATTCAATGCACAGATGAATGAGAGATTTATAAATATGCAAAATGGATTCTGATGAGAAAAATTTTATGGCACACCAGTTTTCATTGCAGTAGACATAGCAAATTGATTTGATATAGTTGCTGATGACAATCAGAAAAGTTTCTCTGTGGTGATTAAATGAAAGCAATTTTGTTTTGGAGGTGTTAAAATTTATAAGCCATTTCTTGCCCCAGTTAATCACTGATTGGAGGTCCTTTTCAAGAGTAGTTGCCAGGTTTATTTTGTTGAATCTCACAGATTTGCTATTAAGACAGGAGTAAATGGTTGTGTGTCAACTACATAAATACCTAATTGGGAACTGATGACATCAGGGAAGATCATTGATGAAGATCTGAAGCAGCGTCGATCCAAGGATAGAGCCCTGGGGGCCACTGCTTACTATGAAAGGATCTGGAAGTGAGCTTGTTCAATACAACTTTCATTAAATCTTTTTATTAAGAATGATTGGATTAAGCCACTGTAACCCTTGACTTTGCATTGGCCTTTAAGATATCAAGAGCTACAACTTGATATTCACCATTCTTTTCTAGAGCTTGATAGACAAAATCAGTGATGGCCGTTAACATGTCAGCAGTAGACCTGGTGAAATGGAAGCCATGTTATTTGTCCAAAAGAAGATTGTGCAAAGTAAGAGGCTTAACCAATTCAGCATTGATTGGAGCCTTTGAGTACTTTGCTAAAAAGAGGTAAGAAACAAATAAGGCTATAATTTGGGGTGCCAGAGTTCTTAAAAGCAGGAACTATAGCAGAGAACTTCCAACAAGCTTACATGCAAATACCATTGGGAAAGATTTGAATCCATCTCTTTTCCCCCATTTATGTAAAACTTGTATATTAGACTTGTATCACTAAATGATTATTATTTCCAAAAATAAATTCTTACAATCTAAAATTATATTCTGTCTTTAAATAACTTGCAATGGGTCAATACCCATTGCAAGTTATTTAAAGACATAGAAAGCAAATCAACTGATCAATCATTCTAATGAGAACATAAAATAATGTGTTTTGTGTGTGTGTATTCAAGTGTGCATGCATGTGTATATGTTTTTGCATGTTTGTGTGTATGTGTATGCATGTGTACTTTGTGTGCCTGATTTTTTTTGTTTATTTTGTATGTGAAATGAAAATTAATCAGATTCATTACTTTCCACTGACCATGAAAAAGAGTCAATATTTTAACCATTGCATATTTATAGTTATAATTATGAGTAGACTTTAAATCTGATGCAAAACAAATTTTGAAATTGAATATGGCAGTTGTAAAAAGTAAAATCAGGAGATGCACTGGGATACCAAAAGCTAAGCAAAGTATTAAAGAACAGGAAAATTTTATTAACAACAAACAAAAGAGTATTTAACTGTTATGTAATATCAGCCCTCATCAGAGACAAAGAAAAAGCAAGAGAAATGTTGCTGAGAATACCATGGACTGAAAATGTAAGCAAACAACAAAGATTTAGAGAAACTGGAAAACAAAAATGACACTTATACTTAACATCAGAAAGTGATAGCTGAAATTTCTAGGGCACATAATGAGGAAAGAGGGCTTGGAAAATTTAACCTTCACAAGATATATTGAAGACAATAGGGACAGAAGAAAATGGTGCATCACTTACCTAATTGTGTAAATGGATGGCAGAACAATGTTTAAGAGAGACAGCAGAAATATAAAATTTACTATGAGCTACACAAGACAGGAAATTGTGGAGAGCCATGATCACCAATGTTCTGAGAGGATACATCACACTGTGTCTGAATTTTTCAAAATCAAGTAAAGAGATTCATTGTTGACTATTTTATAAATTACCTTTAAAGTGGATAAATCTTTGGGTTAGACAAATTGGGATAGTCACCTTGATGACATGTAGGATAAGTTGTTTGACAGCTAAGCGAATTACATTGCACAACTTTGGTGAGCCCAGATATCACAGAGTAATTAGTAATGGTAATGGTAAAATTAACTGTTTTCATACGGTGGTTGGGGAGACATTTGACATTTATTGACAAAACAGTTAGTGTTATTGTCAGTTGAAATTTATAAGATCTCTATGCTAAAACACTTTTTCAAGAAATCAACTCTTCCATCCTCATCTAAGTGAGGAATTGTTATGGATGAGAAGTTATCCATAGAGTCCCTTCTTTGTTTGTGCTATTTCCATGATACACCAAGTACATACCTGTAGATAGATAGATAGATAGATAGATAGATAGATATGAATAGACTGTGATAGATAGATAGATAGATAGATAGATAGATAGATAGATATGAATAGACTGTGAGAGATAGATAGATAGATAGATAGATAGATAGATAGATAGATAGATAGATAGATAGATAGTATTAAATAACATTTACCGGCCTGAATGTCCGAGAACTTTTCATAGAAAATATTCGTCCTTTGACAGTTTATAAGCAGTAAATTCGACCTTGCCTACTGAACGCTCCTTTGTGGCCGAGAGGTTAGGCACGTCAGCGTAAATGACGGTTCCATATAGGATGCAGGTTCGAATCCTGTCAAAGGACGAATATTTTCTATGAAAATTTCTCGGACATTCAGGCTGGTAAATGTTATTTAATACTGTTTATTATAAACAGAGCATTTACTTAAATACTTGTATCTATAAAAAAGAACGTTAAACATAAAAATGTCTTTAATAAATATATATTTCTTAATATATAGATAGATAGATAGATGGTAATAGTGAAATAAATCAACATTTAATTGACCAAAGTGTTAGTGTTACTGTCAGTTGAAATTAATAAAATCTTTTTTATTAAAACCTTTTTTCAAGAAATTAGGTTTCTCAAGTCTCCTATCTGTTATTGCTCTTTCTAACATTGATGGGAGTTTCCTTCCAAACCTCTTGTTTAAGATAATGTGAAAAGGTAACATCTTGATTATACCATTATTTTCTCTTCTAATTACATATGCTATCCATTTTATTTATTTATTTTGCTGTTGGAAAGCTTCAAGTGATGTGGCTTTTGTTATTTGGTAAATCTTGGGTTATACAAGTTAGGATAGTCACTGATGACATGTAGGAGTTGTTTGACAGCTGAGTTACATTGCACAACCTTAGCGGGCCTAGATATCATCAATTAAATGTTTCACAAAGAGCATTTGACACATGGTAAAAAAAAAAGATGGTCAAAGGACAAACCTTATATGAAATGTATTATGTGCAAAAATGTTAATACAGAAGGCATTCAGAGGAAGAGCTATTTAGGAAAAGTTAAATCTTTTAGAAAATTACAAGAACATCTCTCCAAGTTTTCTTTTGCAATGGTTAAACATAAAATATATAACTTTAGAGAGAAAAAATAAAAGTATAAAAAATTAAAGTGATTTGCACAGAATATGTACATTGCTTAAAGACAAGACAGGCAACAAATTCTGATAACTTTAGAGTAACAAAAAAGAGAAATTGGTGTAAAGATATATGGAGGACAAGTACAAAACAATGGATCAGAAGAATTTTCTAAATTCATACACCTAAAGTAAGGCTTTAAAATATCACATTTCTAATATTTTTTTCATTAATCAACACCAAAAGTTAACATCTAAATTGTATAGAAACCTAAAAGTAAAAACATTAATTTTCTTTCTTATTCAATAAAGATCCTAAATTTTGCATCTCTCTTTTGTCCTCATCACAAAATGAAAACCCTTACATAACTTTAGTGGAAAACTAACAAAATAAACTTAACATCAGTTACCACAGGTTATGAAAATTTTGATTTTAGTTGGGATAAAACCCCAAAATGCTATGTCATATATTTGCTAATTGTATCTTATTTTACTATTTTAGGTTTCTATGCTTTAAGACGATACATGCTATTTTATGAATGAATGTATATTGCTAGTTTCAGAAGATGATGTAATACAAATTTTCCCTGGTTGCTCACAAAACACAAGTGTACATTTTTCTGTCAATTGTTGCATTTTGGAACAACCTGTACAGTGTACACAGTGTACACACAGTATGTAAAAAGAAAAATTCAACACAGGAAGGGATCTGACGAATTCAAAAAAAAAGAAAAGATACAAATAAAATTAAAAAAAAGCCTTAACAAAATATCAGCCACAACAAGGTAAAGCTCTACTGCTACAAATACGTATTTTTAAGTAGCAAAAGAAAACGAAAAAAGTAAATAATGTTTAAAAACTGAATTCATCCAAAATCTGTCTTCTTCTTCTTTGCATTCATAGTGTTTAGTTTATCTGACATTCACCGAATTGTATTTTGTTTTAAAAATTAAAAGTAAAAAAAAAAAAAACATTTTAAAATTTTTATTATTAAATTAAATTATAAATATTTTAAATTTTAACTAAGATAGACATACGCAAATTGAATAAAAAGTGTAAAAACGTATTAAAAAAAGAGTTACTCAAATAATTTTCATTGCGGTAATTTTTTTTATTTATTTATTTATTTATTTTTCCCCGCAACTTTTTTAGTCCGACTTCAGGTAAAGTTAGTCGGTGCTCGTGTAGAATTGAAATATCCGGAAATTACTCAAATTACCCGGAAGTTCATACGTACGACTCTTATAAAAGCAGTCGTCGTTAACGTGGCATTCTATTTGACAACACGTTCGCCGTGATCTACCGACCGGTTAACTTCAAGACAAAAATTAATAATGTGTGGTAAGTAATAAATATTGAACTATATAAACATCACTTTTTATTTTAGTGTTGATTGCAGTTCTAATTAATCTTTTAGGCTCCTAGTTTAATCTTATTTGGTGGAATGGGGTGTAGTTTTCTATGTGAAACAAAAAAACAAACAAAAGCGATAATTTGATGAGGACCTTTCTTTATTTTTTTTTACCTCTCACTAGAAAGAAAATTAATATTATTTTTCTAATTCATCTTATTGTGTAGCAAAAAAGAAACACCATTTTTTTTAAAATCCTGTTGTTCACTTATTTCAATGCCCAACACCTTTCCGCTTTAAGAAATAAAAAAGAAAACAAACAATCGTTCATTCACAAAATCTACTTAAAAACTAAAGGAAATATTTACCAGTCCTCTCCTTTGAAAGAATTCTTTACAAACCTTGAATACAATGAATAAATAAATTTTAAATTTTAATTAGTGTCTACATGAATTAGTTTTTTTCTTTCATTAATTTCAGCTTCATTCAATCAGGAACAGTAGCACTTACTTTTTTAATGTAATCTACTCGAAGAACAGATATAAAAAAAAAACAAAAAACTAACAATATTGTTTGTATAATTCATCATAGTGTTTGTTTCAACCTGATATATTCAATATCATATTACCAGAACCAGGCTAAGTTGTCTAATTCATGACTTATGAGAAATCTGAGCCTACTATTCGTATAATTGAGTTTGAATTGGGATTTATTTACCATTTCCAATCCCTCCGTAAAATGATAATAAGCATTTGTGGCACGTGTTTAGTTTAACTGTTCAAATTCATCTTTTTTTCCCCATTGTTGATTTTTAAACAATCTTCATGAATTAAATTGCTAAAAAAATAAATCATTTCTGTAGATCACTATAATGATCTCACCATATTCCTCCTTAATGCTCGTGTTTTTAGTTTGTCATATTACCAAACTTTTGTCTGGGACAAGAAGAATTAGCACTTTTTTACATTTTGTTAATTTCTCTACAATTCATACATTGAGATTTCTTTTCTGCTATTCATTTTCAGATTTGTTTTAAATGCGATTTTATTTAAAATTCTTATCTCATGTTTTTGTTATCAAACTTTCCCTCTCTCGGGCATTCTAAGTTTTAGCAATCTTAAGTTACAACTCCACTTTGCCAAAATGAGGACAGAACCCCCATATGTTGGCATTTGTTTTCCTGGGGAATCTAATGTGGGACAAGAAGAGATTGAGGTTCTTTATGTGAACATCGAACATCTCACGTCACCTTCTTAAACTTAAATTTAAATATATCAAACTCTTTAAAATGCTTCTGGAAAGGATTTTTTTTTTTTTTAATTCATTTTATTTTGTCTATTTTTTTTATTTTCTGTTAAATGCCACTCTACCCCCTTTAAAAATGTCTCTTCTGTTCCATTATTTTCAAACTCAACAGATTTTAGTTTTTTACAGTTTCACCATCATAACTCGATTTGATCTCTCTACGGGTATCCGTATAAACATCAACATTTTTTACAAATAAAAAAAAAAAAAAGTATTTTAAAAGAGCTTAGAGGATTATTTTTTAAATTTTTATCATTTTATTTTTATATTACAACCCATCATTCTCATACTCCTTCTTTTTTTTTCTTTTTTTCTAATGAAGGTTTTTACTTTTAGTAGTCTTATCCGATTTTTTTTTTTAAAAAAAACAAATATTTGCGGATTAAGAATAATAAGATGCTAGTTTTAAAAAAAAAAAAAAAAATTATCAACCTGACTGGAACAATGACATAAAAAAATCTAAACGTCATTTTTTGTGTGGGTTAAAAAAAAACTCACAATTTTTATTCATAATTTTTTTTTTTTTTATCAGTCACGTCAAATTTTTTCTTGTATTTTAATTTTTGGCACAGATTATTTATTTACATTACAATGTTACTTTGTTGTTGTTGTTGTTGAAACTGAATTTAAAAAACGGTGATTCATTACTTAGTTAAAATTTTCGAAGAAATATAAACTTTTTAAATCATTTTTTAAATATTCTTTCCATTGACCAATTAATTTACACTTACACACTTTTTAAACAATTAATGTCTTAAACTCTGTGATTTACATTGTCTCTCTAGGTTAGATTTCATTTGGGAAAAAAAGTTACGTTTGTGATTTTACTCGTACGGTTCAATGATTATGCATCAACAGGAGGAGTTTTCAATTTCAAGTTTAGCCTTTTCGTTTGTAATTGTAATTGCTAAACTTAAAAAAAAGAAAAAAATAAGTAAGCCCGGGAAGATTTTTAATTTGCTTTATTCATTAAAAAAATCGTTTGACTGGTGCTTTAGTAAACGTTGTTAACCTAAGTCACTTGTCTGTATATAGCGCTGTTGGTAATCAGTCATTATAAATTCATCATTAGTAACTAGCTTCTATGTATCCCTTCGGTGATCATAGCTCTCTCTCTCTCTCTCTCTCTACACAACCTTGTATCCCTTAGCAACGTTTATCCTATTGCCAAGCCTCTCAACATTCGTTTCGTTATCTATTCTCGTCGTGTATGTGGCCCGCATCTTCCCTTGTCCCATTTTCTTCTTTTTTTTAATGTCTCGTGACAAATTCTCCAAGCCCTCCTTTCTCATTAAAAACATTTCAGCTGTCTCCCTCTGAGCACAAGTGCCCTTTTTGTTTGCATTTTCCTTAAGACCTCCTCGTCACTCACACTCTTCGTACACAGAATCCGTCTGCAGAACCACATTTTTTCTACCTCCATAAGAAGAAATTGACTAAGCTTTAGTTTAGTTAATAATAACATGCTTTTTTTTTATTATTGTATGTTCATTTAAGTTAATCTTCTGAAGATACTGTTTCGTTTTATTTTATTTCCACTGAGAAATTAGTTTTCTATGCCATTTTTCAGACTGGTTTTTAAATTTAAACATTATAAAAGTGCATATGCTTTTGAATTGTATTGTAGCAATAAGAATTTTTGTCAATATTTGTGCCAGCAAAAAAAAAAAAAAAGTTGTTTTTTTTTTTTCTTTTTTCCCTTGACACTGCTATTATTTTAACTACCTTCACTCCTTGGAAATATTCAGTCAATTATGTGCCATGCGTGATACACGCTTTGGCAATCATGTATCTTCTGATACATGACAGACGAGGCAGATTTTTCCTGCAGTAGGTTGCCATTTCTTTCTGTGGTAGATCAGTTGCCATCCAAGGCTATAGAACCCAGTCTGTCCTGCTATTTACCTATAGCTGGGGGAGAAGAGGATTCATACCTTTCCCATGTAAGTGAATATAATGAATTCAACTGGAATTTGAACTCAGCTCTCCAATTCCTCAATCCGAGCCGCTATCCATTACTCCACCATTGCCCCCCAAAAAAGATCATTAGAATTTTAATAAAACCTAAACATATGATGAAAGTGAATTTATACATTTCTTTTTTTTTTTTTCCCTCTCAAAGATGGGTCTGTATAGTCTTTAATTATTACAAGCCTCTGTTTTTTTATCTTTTTATCTAAGAGTCATTTTAAATTTCTACTTATAATTTTTTTTTTTTTTTTTTTTTTTTTTTAGGTATCTTTGCTTACCTCAATTACCTGACACCTGCAACACGCAGAGAAATTTTGGACATTCTCATCACTGGATTAAAACGATTAGAATACAGAGGCTATGACTCTGCTGGTAGGTGTTTTTGTGTGTCTCATATGTCATGTTTTTTTTTTTTTTTATCATATTTTCTGACATTTCTATTTTAAATTTTCTTTACTTTTATCTCAGAATGCAATTTGACCCTATTTTAAATACAAAAAAAAATCTAATGTTAACAGCTAAGCTTTAGATATCTTTTCTTTCTTGACAATTGCTTCTATTTTAATCTCTTAACTGGCGACCTGGTAGTTGGAATGTTCTTATTTTTTTTTATTCTCATGATTACCATGTTAATACTGAACTTGGTGCAGCAAGCTATAAAATTTGTTTACCAGCCTCAATTCATTCATCCTCTGCAACTCTACCATCTTTCATTTACTCATCTTCTAAATTAAAGTGTTTAAAGTTTAAAGTGTTTGCAATTGTGTCAATAAACATTCCAAGAACTTTTAGATTCTAGTTTCCTTTTCTCTATTGTTTGCAAAATATATTTAATTATAAAATCTCTCCCATTTTATGCTGATTCTGTAACCAAATTTTACAACTAACTGATTCGCTGATTTTGAAATCCTTAGCATTTTGTCATCTCCTCTTTGACAGAGTAGCGTTGCTGAGCACCTGACCAGTGCACCCACCCACCCCCATATATCTCTGTTGCCTGTCAATATCAGAGTCTCTGAAGTAACTTCCAGTCCACACAATGAAATTGTTAGCATTTTTGTCTAAGTTGGTATCTTGTAGGATAGCAGTGGAAAGCTTGTTGGTTCATGTGACCTGTTCATACCATTTCCACTTTCTCTTCTTTGATAGTGGATATGATGTCTTCCAATGGGGCAGTTTCTTATGTGACACAGTATATGTAAGAGATGCCTAGAATGTGTTGCTTTTTTTATGTACATGAAAAGAAAGGGTGATGCAATATTTTGCCAACATCCCATGACACATGAAGAATGACATGGAGATATTCAATATGGTTGGATATATTCCAGTTCTGATATTTCTTTTGTATTGGCAGTTACCATTTCCCTTTGATGGCAGCCTTTATAAATTCGCCATTATCAGGTCTTCTGCCTTGTTGAGGTGAGGGCCTTTTTAGAACATTGATCACTTTCAACAGCTTCCTAGTAAAGTTAAGTGTCAGTACCAAAATTTTATCTAGGCTTATTGAATAATCTCTGAAAATTCTTAATCATTTGAGTATTTTCCACAAGCAAATGTCTAGCTATGTTTGCTGTAAATGACATTGCACAAGCTATACTCAATGGCCTCTGAGGGAACAGTACTTGGAGTGGGTCTTAAGGCCATATCATGTTGAAACATTGATTCCCATATGATCACCAAAGTTAAGCAACATCAAGCCTGGTCTATACCTACATGGGTGACCATTTGGTGAATATCAGGTGGTATAAGTTTGGATGTGCAGGTGGTGTAATGGATAATGGCTTGGGATTGTTAATTGGAGAGCCATGTTCCAATTCCAGTTGGAATTATATTCACTTATGCACTTATCATTATATTCACTTATGCACAAATACCTTTGGGAAAGGTATGAATCCACCTCTTTTCTCCACCAGCTATGGGTTAATTAGTAAGACTTGTATTACTAAAACCATTATTATCTCTAGAAAAAAATAAAAAATAAAATGGCATACAAAATATTTAGATTTTGGCATCAAATAATCCATAGAAGTCACTAAACAAAAACATCCAACCAAAACAACCTACTTAAAGTGCATGATTACATATACACAGTAAGTTAATGTGTATCTACCGAAAATGGTCCTTATGGAACGCACTGAAATTGGGTCCATATCTAAACATCTAGCATAGTGCAATGTAGATTTACTGATTCAAAAATAAAGACTGTTAATGTATTATGGTACTTCAATAAGATCACTTATTTATCTATTAGTTGAAGGAAAAAAGAATTTTGACAATGTAATGGTACAACATAGACTTATCCTATTATGAAAGTATTAATGGCACTGTAGTGCCATTAATACTTTCATAATAGGATATATTTTAATAAATTAATGCACTAATACTGCAAGAAGTCAAGTAGAAGCAAAAAATTAAGGAAGGTGCCTGTTTGGCCTAAAACTGCACCCTCCTTGCTTTCACTGATGCCAATATGTCAAACTTTTCAGCTTTCTCTGTATATATCTCTAATCAATGGTAGGTGATCTAATCTAGCTTGACTCAGTTACTCTAAAATAGAACAAAATTAACTTGCTGAAAAGATATCTTGCAGTTTCTTACGGAAATTGCAATTGTTAGCATAATTTAAATAACAATATGAAGATCTGGAGACAAACTCTCATCTTGATAGTGAGCTATAAGATTTAACAGCTTTTCGGGTCTTGGTAGTTTGATATTGACTTGACTTGATAGCAAATTTCTGCAATATAAAATGTTAATAGATCATTTAGTGCTTAACCTTTGACGCACTGTAACTTTGTTTATTGAGCAAAATGTTTGTCCTGCCACTTCAGATGATTTTGAAATATTCAAAATGGTTGGATGTTTTCCAGGCATTAACAATATAGGTTCATTATATTGTTAAAATGGTTGTTATCAGTTATTAGATGTTATTAGATTTAAATTTCCTTTTTTTTTTTTTTTTTTTTTTTAAATTAGTGCTTATTGTATTTCTGTAGAGATTATTAACAGTAGGTCTTTAATTCCCACTTCAACTTGTTGGCTAGTTGTAGTGGTGTAATTGATAGCAACTTGGAATGAGAAATTGGAAAGCCAATTTCAAATTCCAGTTGGGTTCATTACATTTACTTTGAAAATTCTATATCCCCCTCACCAATGGGTTAAATTGCATTATATCTGAAAAAAAAAAACTCATAATAAATATACTGATCACAATTTTCTTCATTGCATTAAGATAAAATTACTCTAAAAAATTTTTTTTTTTTTTTTTTTTTTTTGCTAGTTGAGTTGAGGACTTTCACCTGACTTTTATATTTGTTTTAATTTATTTTTGTTTGATAATTGAACACGTTCATATTTCTTTTACTAAGTGACCTTAACATCATCTTTTTCTTTTGTTTTTTTTTTTTTTGTTTTTTTTTTGTTTTTACAAAATAAGCTGAACTTATTTGTGCTGTGTATTTTCAATTATTTTTTTTTTAACCTAACCAGTTGTAAGTCCAGTTTTTACTACTCATGCGAATTAGGAATATTTTTCCATGCCTCTGTGTATTCTTTCTATTTGTGGCTTGCAACTAGTTTAGCCAGACTTCATACTATAACCCTCCCCCTACCACCCCCTGCAAAAAATGCTTCATACTTTTGACATTGTAAAAGTTGTAGCAAACTCTTTTTCCTTCCAAATGTAGTTTCAGTGCTATCAAATATCGACATTAGTTTTGAGGAGTGAATTCTTTGTCCAATGGATATCAGTGCCATTATGTTCAACTCGTATAAAAAAAAATAAAAAAAAAATCTTTTGGATCTTGTGTTTTTTCATGTACACTTTTTCTTTTTATGATTTATTTTTTTCAACTCTCTCACAAATGGGTTATGTGGAATTCCTTTAATGTTGCCTGAAGTGTTGGGAAGGGCAGTATTCTTCTTGTGCATGGCTTTGCTTGAATTGATAAGAACAATGCGAATTTAACTTCTTTTTTAAGTAATTTTTAAATTAATTCCAAAATAGGATTTTTCCCCTACCTTACTTCCACGTATGCGTTATTAACATTATGAAAGTGTTGATCATTCTTTGTCTGATCTAATCTTTTTGAGCTCATTTGACTAGGAATGCTATTCTCCTCTATAATATTCAGTTCATGCCATGAAAATAGTTTTGTAATCTTTTTGAATTTGTTATGGTAATAAATGCTCGGGTAGCATAAGTTATTAGTGCAGAAAGGAGATTTAATGAGCAAATTTCAAAGTCTGTTGTGTTCATGTTGACACAAATGTCTTTGAGAAAGGTATGAATCTGTTTTGAAGAAGAAAAAAACTTCATATTAACAACTGCCTAAGAATAAAAATAATTACAATAGACTTGCTGATGTGTTGCTTTTTTTTTTGTTCGTTTTTGTGTGTGTTTTTATATAGACATGTCCTTCAAAATAAAGGGAAAATATTTGAGACAGCCGCATCTGCACTCTATGAAAAAAATTTTTTTTTTTTTTTACATATTTTAGAATTTCTTTCAAGTATTTGGTACATATATCAGCATCATCACATACCTTGGCACTGAAAAGAATTCATACACACAAAAAATATATATACAATTCATCTCTTGTAAACCGTCTTTTCTGTCATTGGATGGGAAGAATCAAGATCTGGCTGAATCTAGTCTAGCCTTTTCAAACCTTAGATGTTTTCTCTTGTTGGCAAATTTGTCTTTTTCCACAATATTCTTTTCTGTCTAAGGGATACAGTGGCTTTAAATTTTGAATTTCATAAATTCAGCTGGCTAGCAGAAAAAATATATACAAAAAGTCAGTTATATTTTGGCATCAGGGACTTTTTGCACAAGAGATTTAAAGAAAGGATGAATTTAATTTTCACATAATGAAATAAGTTATCCTGAAACTAGGCAAAGCCTTTATCAAAACAAACTAGATTTCCTTTATTTGGTTCTATGTAACTGAGGAAATGTGCAGCATTGCTTTCTTTCCTACTTTTCTTTTTCCCAAAACTTCTAATAAAATGCAGACATTATTATTTTTATATATAATTCATGTCCAGATAAGTTTTTAATCAATTTGACATTTTTAAGTTACTAAATATATTTAACTTTCTAAATAAATCAACTTCTTAGATAAAATTTTACATACCAATCCTACTATGAAAATTTGTCCTAATAAAATCAATTTATCTCACTCACACCTACCTATTTTTTGATTTCAACAATTTATCACTGGTAATTCTCTCCACACTTAAAACACTGTATATATATATATATATATATATATATATATATATATATATATATATATATATATATATTTTTGTGTATGTGTATCCACCTCTTCCACTGAGTCTCAAGTGTTAATATATTTGATAGAATC